ATCACGTGGGGGAAAATACAGACTAGGGGAAAACCGGGAGGGGGGGGGGATTTGGACTCCCCAGAAGTGGTCCTTTTAAAGAGTGATAGATATTTATTTCGCATATACACGAAAACATACATTTCTCTCTACCCGCACAACCTTTACTCTATAACATATGATAGCTCCCCATACCTCTATCCCATTTCCTACCCTATACCTCATACTCCTAACCCTAACCTCATGCCCCTACCCCCTACCTCATAACCTCATACTCTGTTCCCATATTCCAATCCACTAGCTCATGGCAAATCGCATACCCCAATTTCTCTCCCATACCCCATACCCCAACTCTTCTATCTCATACTCCAACTCTCCTATTCCATACCCCAACTTTTCTATCCCATACCCCAACTCTCCTATCCCATACCCCAACATTTCTATCCCATACCCCAACTCTCCTATCCCATAACCCAACATTTCTATCCCATACCCCAACTCTCCTATCCCATACCCCAACTCTCCTATCACATACCCCAACTTTCCTATCCCATACCCCAACATTTCTATCCCATACCCCAACTCTCCTATCCCATACCCCAACATTTCTACCCCATACCCCAACTCTCCTATCCCATACCCTAACTCTCCTATCCCATACCCTAACATTTCTATCCCATACCCCAACTCTCCTATCCCATACCCCAACTCTTCTGTCCCATACCCCAACTCTCCTATCCCATACCCCAACATTTCTATCCCATACCCCAACTCTCCTATCCCATACCCCAACTCTCCTATCCCATACCCCAACTCTCCTATCCCATACCCCAACATTTCTATCCCATACCCCAACTCTCCTATCCCATACCCCAACTTTTCTATCCCATACCCCAACTCTCCTATCCCATACCCCAACATTTCTATCCCATACCCCAACTCTCCTATCCCATACCCCAACATTTCTACCCCATACCCCAACTCTCCTATCCCATACCCCAACTCTCCTATCCCATACCCCAACATTTCTATCCCATACCCCCCAACTCTCCTATCCATACCCCAACTCTCCTATTCCATACCCCAACTTTTCTGTCCCATACCCCAACTCTCCTATCCCATACCCCAACATTTCTACCCCATACCCCAACTCTCCTATCCCATACCCTAACTCTCCTATCCCATACCCCAACATTTCTATCCCATACCCCAACTCTCCTATCCCATACCCCAACTCTCCTATTCCATACCCCAACTTTTCTGTCCCATACCCCAACTCTCCTATCCCATACCCCAACTCTCCTATCCCATACCCCAACTCTCCTATCCCATACCCCAACTCTCCTATCCCATACCCCAACTCTCCTATCCCATACCCTAACTTTTCTATCCCATACCCCAACTTTTCTATCCCATACCCCAACTCTCCTATCCCATACCCCAACTTTTCTATCCCATACCCAACTCTCCTATCCCATACCCCAACTTTTCTATCCCATACCCCAACTTTCCTATCCCATACCCTAACTTTTCTATCCCATACCCCAACTCTCCTATCCCATACCCCAACTCTCCTATCCCATATCCCAACACTTCTATCCCATACCCCAAGTCTCCTATCCCATATCCCAACATTTCTACCCCATACCCCAACTTTTCTATCCCATACCCCAACTCTCCTACCCCATACCCCAACTCTCCTATCCCATACCCCAACTTTTCTATCCCATACCCCAACTCATCTATCCCATACCCCAACTCTCCTATCCCATACCCCCCCTCCTCCCCCCACCAAGACGGCATCAGGAGCAAGCGAGCGTCCGGGGCCTTCGTTAACGCCATGAAATAAAAACGGCAGCCAGGGCACAGCTCGGAAGACACGCAAAAAGTCGCTCGCCAAGACACTTTGAGCGTCCGGAGGCTGTCTTCGCGTCCTCCCGGCGGCGAGCGAGCGGGAACGGACGAAAGGATGGGCGGATGAAAGGGAGTGAGCGGGATGGGCGGGGTGGATGGGCGGACGAAAGGGAGTGAGCGGGATGGGCGGGATGGATGGGCGGGCGTATGGGAGGATGGGCGGATGGAAGGGGGGTGAGCGGGATGGGCGGGGTGGATGGGGGGGCGTATGGGAGTGAGCGGGATGGGCGGGATGGATGGGCGGGCGAATGGGAGGATGGGAGGATGGAAGGGAGTGAGCGGGATGGGCGGGGTGGATGGGCGGGCGTATGGGAGTGAGCAGGATGGGCGGGATGGATGGGCGGGCGTATGGGAGGATGGGAGGATGGAAGGGAGTGAGTGGGATGGGCGGGATGGATGGGCGGGCGAATGGGAGGATGGGAGGATGGATAAGGATGTGGTTGGTTGGATGGATAGATGGGTGTGAGAGAGGACGGGGAGATTGAGTGGATGGAAGGACGGGTGGACGTGTGAAAGGACGGAAGAGTTACTGAGGAGGACGGGCGGTTAGGAGGATGGTAGGATGTGTGAAAGGATGGGAGGACGGGAGGACTGGCGGACGGGAGGACTAGCGGACGGGAGGACTGGCGGACGGGAGGACTGGCGGACGGGAGGACTGGCGGACGGGAGGACTGGCGGAACGGGAGGACTGGCGGACGGGAGGACTAGCGGACGGAGGACTGGCGGACGGGAGGACTGGCGGACGGGAGGACTGACGGACGGGAGGACTGCGGACGGGAGGACTAGCGGACGGAGGACTGGCGGACGGGAGGACTGGCGGACGGGAGGACTAGCGGACGGGAGGACTAGCGGACGGGAGGACTGCGGACGGGAGGACTAGCGGACGGGAGGACTGGCGGACGGGAGGACTGACGGACGGGAGGACTGACGGACGGGAGGACTGACGGACGGGAGGACTGGCGGACGGGAGGACTGGCGGACGGGAGGACTGCGGACGGGAGGACTGGCGGACGGGAGGACTGGCGGACGGGAGGACTGGCGGACGGGAGGACTGGCGGACGGGAGGACTGGCGACGGGAGGACTAGCGGACGGGAGGACTAGCGGACGGGAGGACTGGCGGACGGGAGGACTAGCGGACGGGTATAAGAGACTAGAAGGACGGGAGAGCCAGCGGGAGAAGCGGACAGAGAGCGGACGGGCGAACGTGCGAAAATATAGGAAGAACGGACGAACGAACGGATGAAAGGGTGACTAGGCGAACGAACGGGACTAGCGGACGGGAGGACTGGCGGACGGGAGGACTAGCGGACGGGAGGACTGGCGGACGGGAGGACTGGCGGACGGGAGGACTGACGGACGGGAGGACTGACGGACGGGAGGACTGACGGACGGGAGGACTGACGGACGGGAGGACTGGCGGACGGGAGGACTGGCGGACGGAGGACTAGCGGACGGAGGACTGGCGGACGGGAGGACTGGCGGACGGGAGGACTAGCGGACGGGAGGACTGGCGGACGGGAGGACTAGCGGACGGGAGGACTGGCGGACGGGAGGACTGACGGACGGGAGGACTGGCGGACGGGAGGACTGGCGGACGGGAGGACTAGCGGACGGGAGGACTGACGGACGGAAGGACTGGCGGACGGGAGGACTAGCGGACGGAGGACTGGCGGACGGGAGGACTAGCGACGGGAGGACTGGCGGACGGGAGGACTACGGACGGGAGGACTGGCGGACGGGAGGACTGCGGACGGGAGGACTGGCGGACGGGAGGACTGACGGACGGGAGGACTGACGGACGGGAGGACTGCGGACGGGAGGACTGGCGGACGGGTATAAGAGACTAGAAGGAAGGGAGAGCCAGCGGGAGAAGCGGACAGAGAGCGGACGGGCGAACGTGCGAAAATATAGGAAGAACGGACGAACGAACGGATGAAAGGGTGACTAGGCGAACGAACGGACAGACGGCAGAGAGAACGACTAGACGAAAGTGCGGACGAAGGAACGGGGGGGGGGGGGGAGACGAGAACGACCGACCGACTGAATGCTGGCGGAGGTCGAGAGATCTTCCTGACTGGTGAGTCGCTTCTCGTGCGGATACCTACACCTTCCTACTGATTTCTGCTTTTCCTCCTGCTGGCACTGCTGTTGGCGTTGTCGTGTCTTCCTTCCCTCCCTCTTTCCTTCTTTCTTTTTGTCTGTGGTTTCTGCTTTATCTGTTGTTGTTGTTTGTTTCTTTCTCTTGCCCCTCTTGTTTATCCAGGTCCTTGCTTTGCTAATTGATTCTGCTTCTGTTGTTGCTTCATTTTCTTCCTTCTTTTGATTTGCCTCACCTGCTGCTGCTGCTGTTCCTTGCTTCTCTTTCTTTTCCCTTTCCCTTGATTGCTTCTGCTGTTGTTTATTTCTCTTGATCTTCCTGTTTCTTTATCTTTATCTGTTGCCGTAATTACACCCTTCTTCTCCTTCTGTTTTCTCCTGTCTTTGCTGTGTTCTTGGTTCTCTCTATCTCCTATTTTTTGCTGTGTTCTTGGTTCTCTCTATCTCCTATTTTTTTTGTTGTGTTTTTGGTTCTCTCTATCTCCCATTTTTTGTTGTGTTTTGGTTCTCTTTGTCTCCCATTTTTTTTGTTGTGTTTTTGGTTCTCTCTATCTCCTATTTTTTTTGTTGTGTTTTTGGTTCTCTCTATCTCCTATTTTTTGCTGTGTTCTTGGTTCTCTCTATCTCCTATTTTTTGCTGTGTTCTTGGTTCTCTCTATCTCCTATTTTTTTTGTTGTGTTTTTGGTTCTCTCTATCTCCCATTTTTTGTTGTGTTTTGGTTCTCTCTATCTCCTATTTTTTGCTGTGTTCTTGGTTCTCTCTATCTCCTATTTTTTGCTGTGTTCTTGGTTCTCTCTATCTCCTATTTTTTGCTGTGTTCTTGGTTCTCTCTATCTCCTATTTTTTTTGTTGTGTTTTTGGTTCTCTCTATCTCCTATTTTTTGCCTATCTACTACTGCTGTTTTTGCTTCTCCTTCTATCTCCTCCTGTTTCTCTTAATATTTACTCGATCTATACTGTTTCCTCCTTTTCTTGTTTCCCATTCTTCCCTCTATCTCCTATTTTTTG